AAAGGAAGGAAGGAAGGAAGGAAGGAAGGAAGGAAGGAACTAACAAAAAAGAAAAAGGAAAAAAGAAAGAAAGAAACATTGTTATTATCACCTCGTTCTAATCACCATCAGCGGCGTAATTTCCCCGCGCGGGACAACAAAAGAGTCCATGACACCCCTAAACAACCCTCTGCATGTGGCTACCATTCCTCGTGGCATAACAGCGCGCCAGTCGCGGGTACCAAAACCCCTCTTCGGCATCCCGAGAACGTCGTTATGCGGCGTCAAAAAATACCCCGAACAAGCCCGTCCCGCGACTCCTACAACTTCGCAGTGGTTTTGAGTGAATATCCGGACTCCTCCTCCACTACAGGGGTGTCGGAATCTGACGTATCCCTCAGAGGTGCCGGTTTCGATCAGCCGGAATAATACTTACGATTCGCCATCACTCTTTCCTATCCCCATTCCCACCCAAACCCCCATCCCAAACCATCCCCTTCTTAGATTGTGAGAGTGAAGTAGTGAGTGCCAGGTAAGAAGAAGGGGTGGGGTGGAAGGGGGGGATTCCAGACAGAAATTTTATTCTAAACTAAATCTGGATGAAAGGATGGATGGATGGATGCAAGGGCGGGTGTTTAGATGAGTAGAGGTTGATGAATAAATGGGTGGACGGGTGGGCGGACAGACGAACAGGGCAGTTTAACCAACCACGATAACTGGCAAATTTCGAAATGAACAGATAAGGATACTTGTGACAAAGAGAAAGAATAGAAGAATCCAGCCACATCCATACACCCCGCAACCACTAAGAACAGATGGATGGATGGATGGATGGATGGATGGATGGATGGACGGACGGATGGATGGATGGAATCCGGAGTGCATTTTATTATAAGAACAGATACAAAAGGGAAGCAGAGAAAAAAAAAAAAGAGAGAGAGAGAGAGAGAGAGAGAGAGAGAGAGAGAGAGAGAGGAGATAGAGAGAGAAGAGGGTGAGTGAGAGAAAGGAGCAGGCACACCCTTTGCAGGGAGGACATAATAAGCACGTATTATTAATTAACCCTAGAATCCGCCGACATCGCGTTGAGACGAGTAATTCTCCTGACATGGCGCGTTCCTTCGTCACAACAACCAAGACAAACAACGCCGCTGTTCTGCCCTGATGAAACTTGAGATGCAAGGCGTGAGAACCAGACCAGTCAGCCCGCCCTTCTGCATGGAGGGGGACATGCTCAAGCAATGATTGTTCTGTTACGTCGTGATTTGGTACGCTCCTCCTATCTTGTACAATGATATGATACTACCTTGTTCTTCACATAGGGTTTATCTTGATGAACTGAGGTCTCGAAAGATAGAAGGAGAAGAGGGAAAAGAAGGGATGAGAGGGGCAGTTTAGCTTTAATTTTAGTACCAGTTTTACGGAATTTGCTACTCAATCAAGTCATGTAACTGCTGGAGATTAGAAGGTGGTACAAGAGAGTAGCAAACACAGAAAGAAAGAGGAGAGATAAGGACGATAGGTCTTGGATAATTATAAGAAAGAAGGGGCAATTTGGCTAACCAGTGCACCGCAGATGCCGGTTTGAGTAACTGTAACACTGAGAATTAAATGCGCCAAGTACACCCTTCAACCATAAACAAGAGAGACACACTGTTTGACACTGAAGACGCCAATAAAGAGGGATTAAGAGGACAACAAGATAAAATAAATCAAAAATGCCTTGAAAGATGAAGGGGAAGCGGAAGACATCTA